TTAAGATCTACATTTTAAAAAGACAATAAGGCTTATGCACTTTTAGAAAGGGTAACTGACTATATGCTTACCAGTTCTACTTGTAATGCTTTGGCTTCCACGAAACATAAGAATCCTGGATAATCAAACAATGAATGTTCATTTGAGCATCAAATGGATATTATTTTGCAAATATGTTTCACGATTTATAAATGCAAGATACCAAATGCACCAATATTAAGACAAGGCATATTATTATGATGTTTTTCTCTGAGAGCTTAAAATCCAAATTCAATTTAAATGTATGGCACTTATGGCACATCATAGTTGACATCATGAAATTAAAAAGAAAAAGAAAGAACTTAAAGAAGCCACATAAGATTGTACAACATAAGATCTGAATTTAAGAAAAATTTATGTACCTGTTACCTCATTAATCTTGAAAATTTGAAAATAGAATTTTTTAATTTGTCACTCTGACAGTGAATCACATTAAAAAAAAAACACTGAAAATCCTTAAACACAAAAATGCCTTGGATTTCTTTCCTTACAGACCCACTGCTGAGCATGTGCTAAGACATATTAAAATGATACTAGAATGATGCCTTACTAGAAAGAAATATTACAACTTTGGGAAAGGAACGATAAGACACACAAAAAAGTTTAGAAACAGACACAGAAGAGATTCCATATAATTTGTTACTACAATTCTTTTTAGTTATTTGAATACATTTTCTCTTTGCTTTTCAAATCCTTACTTTGTCTGCTCCCCAACACTCAATTCCTCCTCCATGTCTACTCCTTCCAAGGTGCCTTCCCTTACACACATATGCTTAAGTCATGATAATGGCAGATTCAAAATACAATGTGAGAACTGTCTTGAAAATACAATGGTCAAAAAGAAAGACAAACTTCCTGCTCTCTTGGAGCTTACACTCTACTAGAAAAGTTAACATTAAATATATCAACATACATATAAATATGTAATTACAGTTATGATGACTTATGAAGAAAACGTACAGGATTCCAATCAAAGCACCAACATTAACTGACAATTATTAACTGGAGCTCCTCGGCTATTATTGACCAGCGATTATGGCTGGATTTGCAGGTATAACTTAGTTTAACTTTTCATGATTTATACAGTGATTCATTTCTCTCAGACTAGCCATTAAAGTCTAAGATAAATAAACGAACTAATATTAGAAGGAAGTGACCAGTTATACATACCACATACATAGACCAAAAAAAAGAGAGAGAGACAATACACTAAATTCCAAGGCAAATAGCTAAACCTAAATTCTAAATAAAAAGGAGAATGAAGTTAGCATTATCAATAATACCATTGACAAATTTCAAGCCAAAAAAAAAAGAATGCAAACAAAATTTCACAAAGACTATTTGGATCCATCTACCCACAACCAACAAAAGTAAGGTTGACTTTGGATAATGTCTTTGGCTTTCCCATAGTAAGCTACAATTCATTAAAATAAACTATCTACCTAATCATATCCAGTTAAAAGTGACATATCTTGTTTAGAGAACATAAAAACAAATCAAAGAACAGTTTGATTCTATAGTCTGAAAAAAAATGGCAATTAGTACTATAGGCACTATAGCTTATATGAGGAGTGGGAATTTCATGCCTTGCGATCCTGCCGCTATGTAGCAGTGATCCCTAACATGTCTCCCACTGACTTAGCCATTTTGGTCACGTACAAATGATAAAGGATTCTGCAGTTTTCAAACAGTGAAGCAGCATGGAGTATGGAAGGAGCAACATCAACTCTGTAAGGACGTCACAAAGTGATATGAGTGCTTACCTCTGGAGAAAGAACTAGAGAAGAGGATGAAGATAGTTACCAAAAGGAATGTTCTTTTTACATGTATTAATTTCTTCTTTAATAAAATAAATTCATCTATCATTGGGCATTTAAAAAGTTAGAAAATACTTAAGAATTCACATAGGAGAAATAAAAATTATAACAAAGATGTTCCTGAATTTAGTTTTGCTTCTGGAATCACAAAGAAAGACATTAATTCACAGAAGTTCATTCCAGAGTTTCTGAATTCACGACTCCTACAGAGAAAAGTGGCATCAAGAAAACTGCTCCATGATTATATTGTGATATAAATATTTGGGAAACAAATTTAAAATGCAAATCAGTTATTTTAAACTGGCCAGATTTAACACCTATTTTGTGTACAACTTGTATTTAACCCTGTAAAGGAAGCTACAATGTGAAGTTTCCAGACCTTTTTGACTTCTCCAACAGTGACAAAAGGCAGGGATCTGTACCTAAATGCAACTTTGATTCATGTTATATTTCTCTTTCTCTGAATTCCTTCCATACTTTGCACCAATCTCATACCACTACCATTCTGCCATTTATGCTACCTTGCTCACATATTTTCATTTGTTTTATTGACACTCTTTGAATGTGGATTCTATGTCACACATGGCTATATTTTTGTTCTAGAATATATATTTGTTAAATTAATTCACAATTAGAGAAGACTTACAATCAGCTTTTTCATTTCTCTACATCTAATTAACCAACATGTAATGATGACTGCTCTGATTTGCAAAATACTCAAGTCCATCTTAAAATCTTCATTCTCCATTTAACATCAAAAAGCATCCTGGTCCCATTAATAGAAGAATACAATGAAAAAAAAATCAAACTCCTGTCCTCTGTACCTTTGTGCTGATTGAGAAAAAAAATTTGATGAAAACTGGTGAAAAAAAAATATAATGTTTGACACATATGGCAACAGAAAACATTTAAGACTGACATAGTAAAATCAAACGAAGTTAAGTGATACTTAACATTAATTACACCAAAACAAATATCAGCCGAGCATAAACATGAACTATTCCATATGTAGAGTTAAATGGATGTATAATTAGAAAATTATTTTGAGTTATTTTTTCACAAAATAACAAATGTATGAGTATGTATACTTAGAAATTTTGTATGTATACGCACATTCATACAAATATATACATGCACATATACACATATATACATACACTTTGCTCAACCAGTAATAGAAAATATAAATATAGTTCCCTTTATGTCATCCTGAGAAGTCCATGTATTAAAAAACATAATGGTAAATGCCCATTTAAGAGAGAACAGCAAATGAGAATTTGGCCTCAAGTAAAAACATTTAGAAAGCACTCCAAATGGTACACAAAATCTCTAAAATAATTCATACACACTGTCATTTGCATAGCTGCTAGAGGCTTAATATGAGATTAAATTATATTATTGAAAATGTTGACCAAAACCAAAACTGCGAGAGCATATGCTATTGGTTCAAAATATTTCAAATAACATTTGTTTCTAAAGTTCTATTTTACACATTTAATACTATAATATTGTTTCTTACTTATTGCCTGACTCATGTCCAGCCGATTTTTTAAGCAGAAGTTTCCCTGCTAGATGACACAAACATAAAGATGTGGAACTGTGAGCTTTGGTCCCACTCCACTCGGCTAACATTGAGGGCATAAGAAAAAATAAGACACATTCCTGCATTTAAATAATAGTAATTTTAAAAATAGAAATCAAGGCACATTAAAATCAATACACAGTCAAAATGGTTAATTTGAAGACTGTTCTATGTATCTGCTAAAACTGCAAATCATCTACTTCCTTTTAATGACAACACTAAATAAACACAACGAGGATGATTCTAAATGGCAAATTAAACATGCTTCTGATTTTTGTAGTAACACCATCAGAGTACACATGCCTCACTTACCAAGTGATGAAGGAATGTATAGCTAGTTGATAATGTTCTTAAAACAAAGTTAGTATGCAAAAAGAAAAAATGGACTTGTCTTAGTCTTCTGTTTATCTCTTCCGCAATACTGCCTTTTTAGGTTACTGTAGAGTTAGTGTAGATATGACACTTAGCAGACAACAAGGTGATGAGCCCACAGCGGTACCATTTCAGTGCTGCACATGATTAAATTTATGTCTCAATACAGAATGGCTGGGACAGGTGTGTTCCAGAGTTGAATGTTTGAAGATGATATATTTACGGCAACTAAACTTATTTAACTACCATTAAACGATGCTGCAAAAAACGACAACAAACCTGTAGCAAATTTCTAAATATATTAATTATGAGAGCAGCTGACATGAAAAAAAAATTACTCTAAAGAACAAAAAAGGGGTAGGGAGTGAAATAGAAGCATTTTAATGAATTTTTCTTACCTTAAATTTATAAGACATTTTTAAAAACACATATACCTACCTCCCAGTGCCCAATACCAATGCCAAAAGGTCTAAATAAATTTACATAACTGAGACACACTGTACTTCATACAGATGATATAAAGAATAAGTAAAATAATGTAATACCTTTACTTTTACCTATGGGTTTGATGAAATGGGTCCATGAAGAAAAGGTTTCCAGACAAAGAGAATAAAGAGGAGAAAAACAACAATAAGAATTATGAACATATGTAAATGCACTAGTCTCTGAAAATTAAACAAGACAAGAAAGTATAAATAAGGTTTTGGAGACAAATGGAGACTCAGTCAGTACATGTTGCAAATTCTGCCTTTTTTAAAAGGCAAGTACATGCAAGAAATTGGGAGGCCCATGCTCACTAAAAGATTACACAAAAGGGAGATACACAATGGATATAGGCAGAAAAAGTTTTGATTCTGTGGAACACTAAACTCAGCATTCTAGAAGCCAGAAGCCAAAGATGTCTGCATGTTCCCAAACTGCCATGCATGAATGAAAAATGGACTCTTTTTGGTACAGTCAAACTGTGCATCTTCTTTCAGATATCAACTTATGATGGTTCTCGATTTTTCTCTACTATAACCACCCTTAACTGTATATGCTGATAAATGTATAGAAATTTTCAATCACAATTTCTTATGTCTCATTTATTTGCAGATATTATAGTGCAAGGAATGAAAGAAAATAAAAGTCACAAGAACAAACCAAAATCAAACCAACAAATGGGGGGGGGAGAAAAACACATATAAAAATGTGAACAAAAGTTATGTATTTAATTTTGCAGCCAGATAATTTACAAGCACTTGTCCATCCTTTGCAGTGATGGTTTGAAAGCAGCTACAGAACAAGAAAACACTGAAAGCAGAGTGGAAAAGGAACAGAGCCCATACCTTGGTCGCCCATCATCAGGTGCGCCAGACCTTGAAGGGAAACAAGAGCACAGTCAGCAATAAACAAGGGAGCATGGGAAGGCAGGGTTGTCACGATGACAAAAATGTTCAGTGACAGACATCTTGTTTCCTATGAGACATGTCTGTATCACAGAGGCAAATCAAAAAGCATTCTTTCAACCCCTGGTTGGAATGCTTTGGGGCAAAGTGTTATAGAACTTCAATTTAAACACTGGCATGTGCTGCACTGTGTATTTCTTCTATGCATCAGTTGGAACACTCAAGAGCATAAGAGCATGACTTAAAATCCAACCAATCCCTTAAATTTTACATCAGCCCTTTGATGAGACTGTTTTGAGCATTGCCCCACAGGGCTTATAATTCTTCAGTGATGAAATCACATTTTTAAAAACCCAAAGGAATACCTGAAACATGGGCTGGGTCTGATCTTTTTCCCCTCATCAAAAAATGAGCAGTTTCATAATTAAATGAAGAAAAAAATAAAAGTCTAGTTACACTGAAATGATAATGCAAAAATGTTTTCTTGTCTGACACATGTAGCAACTGACTAGGCTTGTTCAAATACAAAAAATATCATTAGACATGCAGCTGTAAAGTTAGAATTTACTACAGAAAAATGTTTTTAAGAAACAATTGATGCACTTTACATAGGCATAAGTAATTTTCCTTAGAGAACAAGATTATTTAGCATTTTACATAGACATTGCTTAAATGTTGAGTTAAAAATTAGTATAAGTGAAAGTATTTATTTAAGATGCATATTATGGATATAATTTCACTGAGAATTTTCAAGAAGAATACTGAATTCCCTTTGTTTATCTAAATTATTTATTATCTCCTAGTTGACAATTAACTTCAAATTGAAGAGCACGCCTTTTCTAAAGAATACTACTAATATTCTTTTAAAAATTAATCTGCTGTCCAAGAAGCCACTTTTTACTGACAGACATAATTCCTGGTTCTTTATTCTAAATTTGGGAAAAATATTTTTCTCAATCTATGCATATTTCATGAACTTGGAAAAATATTAGTGAAATATGATATATATATATATGTAGTTTATTAAGTTTGTATTTTCAATTCCTGGTGCTATTTCAGATATATTTGAGACTTTATTTGAGCTACTTGATATTATGCATTTGTTGTGTCACTACTGAAATTACCTATGCTGGTTCCTTACAGTTTTAGGGTGATTCAAACATTCATGCAGGGTAGATATAAATATAAATCATCATCTAATTACAATATAATATTAAAATAATTAAACATACTAGTTTGATGTTTCTGTATTGTAGCCTCTCTTTGTGTTTTCTGAATGATGTTAGCAAAATTCACAGGCAGATTCAAAAAGTTAGGATCTACAGACAATTCAGGGTGTTTTATATGCTGAGGAATAGTGGCTTTTTTGTGTAGGTTATATGTTTCTTAATTTAATTTCACTTTTAAAACTACTATGCATATTCCCAAATAACAGTTTATGTTTTTGTAGACTAAATCAGGAGATTATCTCTAAAATCTAACTTTTAGAAAATATATTAGGCGCTTCTAACAGTCTTGATATGTATCAATAAGGGTGGAAATTAATAAATCCCAATAGTATTCACATTCTTCCTGCTAGACTTCCTACCTCTAAAAGAGCACAACTATACTGTCAAAGTCATGTTATAAATAGGGATGTTAAAATTATGATTGAATAATTATAATAGTTTATGGGCCTATAGTCTGAAAATCTCATCAAAACTTTGCATGGGATGAGTATGTGAGGAGAAAGAAACATTCATGCTAATTAGGCTGAGGTTAAAACACCTTGGAATGCAATTGGGCTTTAAGAGAAAATAACAAAAACATGGAACATTTTACAGAATGGTTAAGGAAATGTAAAATAGACTGAAAAGATACCTTTTAAAAATAACTTTCAAACTCAATTAACATGCAAAATGTAAATGAGACTGACTTGAAAGATATCAGGCATGCAGTGTAATATCTTTATCAAGTGTATACTCACATGCAATTAAAATTATAGAATAGAAAAACAGAAGCCATATACAAATCCAACACTTGGAAAAATGGTGCTTTATAATGTTTTTTGAAGTTTTTATCTATTTTACTTAAATAATGAGGTGTTCAGCAGGTAAGCAATTATAATATTGTCATGAAATAATCACAAATATAACGTTAACCCTGCCACTGATCAACTTGTTATTACCATGAAGTGTTCTTTTTTTGAGATATTAAATCTTCGTAACCATAATGGCTATCTATCTGTAACCTGGGATAGGGAGTCATTTATAGGATGACTATATTTTGAAATATGGCAGTAAAATAAAATGTGCCAAATGCTGCCCTCAGATATATACATATTAGTAAATTATTTATGAAAGAACTATTAATGGAGTGATTATATACATTGATAGAACATACATACATGGATAAAACCGTGCCTTTCACTATTCCTTTGCTATGTATGCCTGATTTTTATTTTTGCATGCTTATCCTTTAAAGGTTTGTTTAGTAGCACATTGATTAATGAATTTAAGTTCTTTAAAAAAATGTTGAAATACCTTTTGGTTTGTTGGATTCTACAGAAAAATACATAACTTCTTCAAAATTTCTCGATAGAGAAAATTGTTAAAAAATTTTGAATAACATATTCTGGTTTTATTGAACAGATGTAGAATAGTACAAATATACTTACCATTAATCATACTGAAGTGTTGTATGCTTTCATTTCCACTGGCCAGTGGCTTATTTTTAAAACTAAATTTATGCCTCTTACCTATATTCAGTATTTTATTGTGTTCGTTTTGTACACCAAATCATTTGAAACAAACCAATGGGCTTGAAATGATATAATGTTAAACATGTCCAACAGAAAAGAAGAAATTATTTTGATGAGAAAAAAATGGAAAAAGGATCATGCACGATGCTCTGAAATTGTAAAAAAACAAAAAACAAAAAAAAACCCTTTCTCTTTTAAAATAAAAAAGCAGCATTGTATCATTTTTCCATACAGAACACTGCAATAAGTATTCTAAAGATCATATGGGATGCTGAAATCCATTGAGGGTTGGGGTTAAGACCGAAGATGTTTCATGTACTGGGGACTGACAGGGTTGAGAATGTGTGTTCTATATGAAAAGTGATACATAATCCAGAAACCAATAGATGTTCAGAAAGAAGTTCAACTTACCGTCTACATTCAAGATGTACTCATTTAATACTAAGAAATGAAAGGCAAATGAGATTTGAAAAATAAGGTAGAAAGCACCCACCTTCCACATTGTTGTCTTCTGAAAGCACATGACAAGGAGGGAGAGAAAAGGAAAAACATTCATTAAGCAGCATGCAGACTGGACCTTGCCTTTGCATGTCTTCCTCATGCAAGGCACCAAACACATCATGCAAGTGCTCCATCACTACCATTCAAAGGGGAAAACAAAATTACAGGGGAGCAGGTTCCCTCCCACTGGTAGCATTCATAGGAAATGCAACAAAACTTTCAGTAATACTGCCGTGTCCTGAGAAAAGGGTTTTAAAACATCTCTTACTGCCCTGTATAAAGCAAACATTATTGTTATTACATGTTCCTGGTGTGATCTTTTTAGACAATTAATTTTTTTTTCTGTTTAATAATTCTAAAAGTTTCCATTTCTATATAATGAGTTGGACTTGAATTTTTAAAAGTCTATTGGAAATAGCTATGAAATTTTACCTAAAGGTAGTCTAGTTTTACAAAATAGTTTCCTATTTTGCCACCACTGCCTTTTAGTCTTTTTTTAATACCTAAACTGCTTTCCTTAAAGAAATATAACAATTCTATGCCACCAAGATATAGAATTTATTTGGTTTATTTATAATGTTTATGTATAATATTTTATTGCAATTTGTTAAAATGCTATCTTTTAAAAATGTTAAGTGGAAAAAATGAATATTGGAAGAGATATTCATTTGGGAGCTGTCCATTAGGCAGTTTATCATGATTTAATCACTTTGTACTTATATTTAGGATGTGATTATGAATTTAGTTGAGATAATACTAATATTTAGCAAAACTTTCCTTATATTTCTATATATCATAAAATATTTACATATTTTCATATACTGAATCACATACCCGTGTGTACATATATGTATGATAAACATATAAACAAGCAAATTTTGTTTGTATTTCCTGCAGATAATTAATGTAAGTACATGAAGTCTAAATTATTATTAACATCTATTGGACAATTCAAGTGCTATTTGAGACACAGAACCCAGTAGCTCCTGGAAGAAAGAGTTGTCTTAGGAGACTAGAGCAAGAGCAAGCATTCAGTACTTATAAACTATATCCATCCTGATATTCTAGTCTCATCCTCATGTTTTGTTTAATCTACTCTGCTTTTTAAAGTGGTAATTTAATCAAAAGTGTTTACAAAGAACAAAACAGCCAGGCGCAGTGGCTCACGCCTATAATCCCAGCACTTTGGGAGGCTGAGGTGAGAGGATTGCCTAAGCCCACGGGTCCAAGACCAGCTTGTGCAACTTGGCAAGACCTTGTCTCTACAATAAGTCAAAAATTAGCCAGGTGTGGTGGCACATGCCTGTGACTCCAGCTACTTGGAAGGTTGAGGTGGAAGAATTGCCGGAGCCCAGCAGGTCAAGGCTGTGGTGGCCATGAGCATGCCACTGCACTCCAGCCTAGGTGACAGTGAGACTCCGACTCAAAAAAATCCCCAAGAAACAAAGAACAAAACAACACCAAGTATAGAAACTTGAGAGTAGAAACAACCATACACAGTCCATTTCATTAGGTTCAATGAATACTTTTAAAAATGGATATATTTACTAATGAATTAAAAATCATCAATTTTTAAAAAAATATGTTAGCTGGAAACTGAAATGTGCCTCATCAGAGGCACATTTACTGATGTGGTGTCAGCATATAATAGAAAACACCTAGTGGATAAATGTGGGCAGTAATATCTTTACATAATACTTTGTTTGCCAGAGTTTGTTTCAAAGTAAAC